AAAAAAAAAAAAAAAAAAAAAAAAAAAAAAAAAAAAAAAAAAAAAAAAAAAAAAACAGAATAGATTTTACACTTTCAAGAACAATAATAAAAAAAACGAAGTTGAAAAATAAAATATTTACAAGAATCTATTTTTAAATAAAATTCTGAGACATAAACATTAAATTAAGTATGAATTTCTCATTCGAAACGAAAACTGCTTATAAAAAAATACAAGAGCGGTATGAAGATAGAAGTGAATAAGAAAGAAATTTATAAATAGAATAGAACCATCATTTTCCTACTCAATCAAGGAAATAGGTTTGCACGCTGTAGCAAGATGTGACACATAGATCGGTTGGGTTACCATATTCTCAATTTTGCGGTTTTCAGAGCGCTTATTCTCGATCGCGCCAAGCGGTGCCGAAATCGTGAGCATTTCCGTGAGTGCATCCGGTTTACCTCATTGGAAGGCGAACGCTCTATCCCCTGAGCTACCACGGCTCCTCCTGGAGTCATTACCTTGAGTCGGCATGGATCTACCCCTATTAAACACCTTCGGAAACCTAATTAACTTTCTTCCTGCTCATCTCGCATCAGTCCGCTCTACGAAAAGTGTTCATTCTGGTCTTCCATAATTGGTCACTCTAATGTGACTGGACTATGTAGATTCAGGTGGAAAACTTCTGATTTTTAAAAATATGTACGAATTATTTAAAATATGGTTCGTGCACAAATAGTCACGTATATATAACCGTAACTGCTACCTTTAAAAGTTATGAAGAAATCAAACATTACGTCAAGCAATAACTTATTAGCTGCTTTTTAATATGTTTTTAAAATCAAAATTTACTGTACAAAAGATTAATAAAAAAAGAGTGTCTTTTTTCAATTTAAAATATATCTGACCACTTTATATTTTTCCTATTTTTAGTGCTTTTGAATGGCTGAAAATGTGCACATCAACATCAGTTGAATTGAAATGTAATCAGGAAGCAAAAAGCTTTATTGAAAAATCTACCATTACTATGCTTGGCGAACAATACAAAATGCTGTGCGATAAATCAACAAAGGGGCCATTCACAAATTGCTTTGGGCTGTATGGAGAAGAGAACCTGGAAAAAGAAGATCTCGTAATGATATTCTCGGGTGGCAGCACTGCTCGCATTGCGTCATTTGTTATGCTCTTTCTCCCTTTCATTCTCACAAAAATAAAAGATTATGTAACACTTTATTAATATTATCATGAATTTTGTCTACATCTAAATGTTGTTTTAACCAGTTCAGATCACGCAATTCTTCCTTCATGACCCACGTATCATATATAAGACAAGTCTTACCAGCGACCAATAGTCAAACGAACTTGATTTAGAACGTTTTCTTTTAATTTTCAGACGAGACTAAATTGGCGGTTGAAGCTCGTTTTAATTTCAAGTAAGGACACACTTCAATATGCGTTACGGCTCCATCATTTTTAATTTTTTTTTATTTGATCCGGGCTAATTAAACATGTAATCAACTACCTGGGTTCTTTAGAAAGAATTGCAAATCACTGCGCTGCCCCCCCCCCCTACGGAGTGAGAAAAGTATGGAGTGCTTTGATTTATGTGGGTGTAGATTTGTTAAATAGTGCTTTACATGTTTTGGAACAGTTGTTTTTTTTCCTTTAAAAGACTATCATCAACATTTTATAACAGTACGTTTAGAAACTTTCAATGATAATAAACTGCATTCAATTTACTGGATTACAGTAAGAGATTTACTTGAATTTTTAAATGAAAATTGGGATTAACGGAAAAAATCGTGAAATCCGAGTGTACGTATACTTTTGGAGTGTACGGGCAGCTAATTTACAACCCAGCGGCCTTTAACGACTAGCTCTCTTTTTTGGAGATTCTTTTATGAGCTGCAGTTGGTCGCAATTATAATGTAAGTTTTTAATTTTTTTTTTAATTTCTTTCCTTAACAAAATAGGTTATAAATCATGTTTTTCTTTATTTAAAAAAATTTACTTACCAGAAGAGTTGGTCGCTAAAAGCCGCTGGATAGGAAAATCGCGTATGGGCATGGGGAAGAATTTTTTTACTTTCGCTGGCCCTGAACAATTAATTTGTGTTATTTACATTAGAAATCTAAAGCTCTTTTTCTTCTAGATGAGCTTTTGTGGTTATTTTGAATAAACCGCCATTTGGGGTTTCTTAGATTTCTTTTCAATTCTCCAAGACATCAGACAATTGAAAGCATTTGCCTTAGAAATTATTGTTGTAACACTTGGGTCGACAGTTACATTTCATTTATAATTTTTCTGATACATTGATGTAAAGACAAACAAAAAAAGGAGAGAGAAAAATATGGTGGCTGAAGGAATACGGAGTGTCTGAATTCAGCAGCGATATTCGGCTTATTTCAGTTGGTAACTAAAGACTCAAATCACTGTACATATACTACTTAAAACATTTATTTGTAAAATAAAAGAGTTAAAAGTAGATTTTTAATGCCACATTTTTGTTTAAAAAAATTTAGAAACAAAATAAAGGTAAAAATTAAACAGGCTGTGATATTTACCCTTCTAATTTAATCGATTAGAATAGCTTAAGTGACAATTAAAATTATTTTAACCGTTAAAGGTAAGAACAAAAGAAACTTAAATGTCTGTTTTTGTTAGATATAGGAACTAATTTCTTTCCTGATGTGTATTTTATTGATAATAATGTTACGGACAGTCGAGAGTAGTTCTACAATTTATTACTATGGATTTCAAAGTCCTGTAGAATGAAATGAGACTTAGAATCGTTCTAAATAATGAAAACATTTTAAATGTCAAATCGCCTTTTTCACCCTGTGGATAACAAAAAGCAGTTTTTTGTGAACAAGCTCTTGGTGGCTCTTAATTGTTACCTCGTTTAATAAACAACTAGGAGGCTCCGCCCCC